ACTCACTCGACTCACACACTCACACACTCACTCACTCGACTCACACACTCACTCACTCACTCACTCACTCACTCACTCACTCACACTCACTCACTCACTCACTCACTCACTCACTCACACTCTCACTCACTCACACACACTCACTCACACACACTCACACACACTCTCACACACACACACTCACTCACTCACTCACTCACTCACTCACGCACGCGCAGCACTTGCTGCTCTGCAAGGGGTCGGATGTACGCCCTGGCGTCCCTTGGTCTCCGCTCTGCCGGTGGCTTTTGCGTGGCAGGCGCAGCACTTGGTGCTCTGCAAGGGGTCGGATGTACGCCCTGGCGTTGGTCTCCGCTCTGCCGGTGGCTTTTGCGTGGCAGGCGCAGCACTTGGTGCAGCACTTGGTGCTCTGCAAGGGGTCGGATGTATGCTCTGGCGTCCCTTGGTCTCCGGTGGCTTTTGTGTGGCAGGCGCAGCATTTGGTGCTCTGCAAGGGGTCGGATGTACGCCCTGGCGTCCCTTGGTCTCCGCTGCTCTGCCGGTGGCTTTTGCGTGGCAGGCGCAGCACGCTCTGCAAGGGGTCGGATGTACGCCCTGGCGTTGGTCTCCGCTCTGCCGGTGGCTTTTGCATGGCAGGCGCAGCACTTGGTGCAGCACTTGGTGCTCTGCAAGGGGTCGGATGTATGCTCTGGCGTCCCTTGGTCTCCGGTGGCTTTTGTGTGGCAGGCGCGGCACTTGGTGCTCTGCAAGGGGTCGGATGTACGCCCTGTCTGCCGGTGGCTTTTGCGTGGCAGGCGCAGCACTTGGTGCTCTGCAAGGGGTCGGATGTACGCCCTGGCGTCCCTTGGTCTCCGCTGCTCTGCCGGTGGCTTTTGCGTGGCAGGCGCAGCATTTGGTGCTCTGCAATGGGGTCGGATGTACGCCCTGGCGTCCCTTGGTCTCCGCTGCTCTGCCGGTGGCTTTTGCGTGGCAGGCGCAGCACTTGGTGCTCTGCAAGGGGTCGGATGTACGCCCTGGCGTCCCTTGGTCTCCGCTGCTCTGCCGGTGGCTTTTGCGTGGCAGGCGCAGCACTTGGTGCTCTGCAAGGGGTCGGATGTACGCTCTGGCGTCCCT